ATATATATATATATATATTATTCTAGGTAATTATACTTCTATACTTCTGGAAATAATTATAAACAACATTATATAATTATATCAAAATTACTTTCTTTAAAAATATAAATTCATTATAAACCCATTTTTAGACAGAATATTAAGGGAATAATCATGGGTCTAACCCAACTTGTCAACTTTAACCACTTCCAAAGAAAAAATCGTTATTAAAGGAAATTTAAAACATTTTGAAATAATTATATAAGCAAATATTATAATAGGCTCTATCACAAGTTATAGAGAAAATAAGGAATAAAATTGTGTACCTGTTAACCGAGAAGGATACTTGAAAATCAATATAGTAAGTAACAATGAAACAACATCTATCCTCTTTTTGCTCCTAGAGTTTTCCCAAAATAATAAAATTGTGATGGATACCAATTTTTATAGACCATCCTATGACAATGATTGTAAAATGAGTGACTCTATATATGATAGACCATCCAAAAATAGTTTATTTGCAATTTCATAATAGGCCATCCAAAAACAAAAGTATACATTTGCAATTTCATGAATCAGTCAAACGATATAATTAAACATAGTTTTCATACATTTAATAATTCAAAGTATTTATTTATATACTTGAATAATGTTAACCTCAAATAAATAACCCAACAAGTATGAGTACAACCCTACAAGTATAATCAAAGTTAAGTTCGTAGAAATCATACATTTTGTAAAATAAATATAAAAAAAAAATCACCTACATTTTGTATACTTTCGTGTGTTAAAAACCTTGGATTAAACATTTGACTTTAAGAATACCTTTTAGATGCGTACAAATAAAATGATAAAAAAGAAAGAGATATAAATAATTATTGTTATTGCACGTAAAAGAAATTTAAAAAGGTGAATATAATAGTGAATATAGTTTACTTGTATTTATCTCCATTGTAAAACCTTCATAGTACTTCCAAAAAAAACAGTGCAGTTAGAAACGATAAAAGAAAGAGATATATAATTATAGTTATTGCACATAAAAGAAATTAAGGTGAATATAATTCTCAACTATTGACTCGTATGATATCTTCACAAAAGTGCAGGTAAGGCAATAAGATACTTGCAATTAAAAATCCCAAGCAAAAACCACCTTCATTTTGTTTCTTTTTTTTCCTTTTATCACTTTTGGTCTTTCATTTCAATTTCTTACAAGTGAAAGCTGCACAACAAATGGTCCACAGCACAAGAAACCCATCAAAACGAAACACTTGAGACCAGAAGCAAATAAGGCGCAGCTAGCTTAGAACTATACAAAACACAAAATCAAACCATGTATGTTTGCTGTTCAGAGTAATTATCCCTATTTTTACACTTTTGCACCAATTTGAGTCACACAATTATTCACTCGTTAGCTGATGTCGCGGGCTTTGACTCGGTACTAACATCAGCTGAAGCAGAATCAGATGCTGGTGCAGATTCTGAAGGAGTTGTATGATCATTAATTGAAAGATGTTCCAGTGTGTCAAAAGCCTCAAGGTCATCACTCTGTAAAGTAAAAAATAAATAAGGGTCAAAAATTATAGTATAAAGAAGTATCTTGCACATTGCATATAAATTGAATAATTACTTCATGCTGTTGTGAAATACTATGGTTTGAAAAATTATTCGCGAATAAGCTGGTGTTTGATAAATTAACCAATATAAGATAATTCTATCAATTCAATGTACAGGAAACAGACTGCCCCTACATGAGTATTATTAATATTTTAACTTTCATCGTCATTAACATATTTAGTAGAAAACATAACAAATCTTATGACATGTATTTCCACCCCTTAAAGAGTGTATGCAAACACCACAGATCAAAACAAAAGCTAAAACACACACAACAGTGTATAAAAACACCAAAGATCACACGAAAATGGACATAATTATGCATTAGAACAGAAAAAGCATCTACACTAAAAGGAGACTAGTAAAACGATGGACCCGGAAAGACATGAAATATGTAGAATATGGTCAATCACAAATTAGATGCAAAAAAGAATTCCATAATTCAAATTCTGCCTTTGGCAATATCAAAACACTTGATAGGGTTTAAAAACCATAAGAATAAGTTTTTTCTTCTACGCAAAGCATCCTGAAGATGTCAATCTTAAACGGGAAACAAAACATTAAAATAGAAAGGGGAAAGGGATTCTTTAACATCTACACAGATTCATTCAACATCTACATAGCCTAAACAAAAAATACTACATAAAGGCACAAAACATATAAAGGACAAGACAAGGCCTAAATAAAATATTGAAATATAAAACATCACCTCAAGCTGCCAGAGCATGTCCAAAGTATCATCCAGATCAGAATGGTTTATCATGTATAAATCTCTAAGGGACTGTACATGAATGTCAGGAAATGTCATCTTTAGAATACCAATATCCACGTTCTCATCATCCTCAGTCACATTATGCGATGATGAAGTGCATGGTGCAGCAGGGTTGGTGTTCTCTTGCAAAGACTCGGGGATGCTTTCAGTGTTGGATTCAAGAAGGTGCTCATGATGATCATCATAAGGCGCCTCATCATGATTCTTGAAACCATTTCCAGAGCGTGGAACAAACGATGCTGCATGTGGATTCAAAGAAGACCGTCCCGCCATTTTGGACTTGATTCTTGGAACCCCACGTGCACAAAACAAAGAATCAGACAACAAAGTTAGTAAATTCAAATTCAATAGTCACCAATGGGATCTTGAATGAACATTGATTCAATTTCCACCCAATGTCCTTCCAACAAGGTAACAAGTTTGAAAATTTGATGATTGTTTGACCCCATATTCTCGTTCTCCCAACAAGATAAAAAGTTTGAAAATTTGATGATTATTTGACAGAGCCAGTGCTAAAACCTTAGGTCCCAATTATGAAAAGAAAAAAAAATGATTTGATGAAAAAGGATAACGTGAATGCAGAGATGGGAAATGAGAAAGGGAACAAACCAGTTGAAGGAGAAACCCTGATTGACGAATGAGGAATGATGATTGAATTGAATTGAGAAGAAATTTGGAAAAGGAAATGGCTTTATAGGAATTGAATTGATGTAAGTGGCAGATCCACCAATGAATCTTACTATAAAAATATAAAAATAATTATTAATTAAAATTAAATGTAAGATGAAGACTTTGTTTTGTCCAATGGAATGTCCATTTAGTGACTTGTTACTGCCATGCCATGCGGCGACTCGACGTCTCCCTTTCATTTTTTATTAAATAAATAATAAATAAATAAACGCTTCGTATCTCTCACCAAGTCACCATTACAAATTTATAAAAATAAGATAACCATGCTTTCTCAAAAACAATAAAAAATCTAATAACCAAGCTAAGTAGATTTATTTGAATACTCACCCTGCTATATAAGTATGTATTTTATTTAGGACAAATCTTAGAAATATACTTTTTTGTAATATAGTCAAACGTTATTAGAAATTACATAGTTTGTGAGTCACAGTTTTTATTTATTGAATTCTTCTCATATTTTTTTTAGTTTAATAATAAGTTTAAAAAAAAGTGTGTTACAGTATCTGACACTCAAATTAGATTAGATTCAGATTGCGATGTATAAAATAACAAAATATATATATATATATATATATATATATATATATATATATATATAAAAGAGTGATAATATATATATAGAAAAAATTTATTTAATAATTTATATAATATCATTTTTTGTGTAGTTTTCTTTATCTCATCATTTATTTATTTTATTTTCAAACTTATATATTTTGGTTGTAATAAAATTTGTGCAATATTTATTTCTACAAAATTATCATAGAAACCTCTTTTTAATTTTTTAAAATATTGAATGAAATTTATTAAAAATCATGATCATAATGAATTTAAATTTATTAAGTGATAAGATTCACCAATAAAAAAAATTAACTAATAAAAATTAGAATGTTGTTAGAATCAGCGTTTAGGACGAGATTTAAATAACTAATGATTCAGCCTCTGAATTGTTACTCCGAATTTTTGTTCGAACAATTAAAATAATAATATTTTTAATAAACTTATTATAAAATAATTATTTTATAATAAATTTATTAAAAAATAATATTATTTTAATTATTCGGAGGATGAATTGGAAAAAATTTCGGAGTCTGTATCCGTATTCGATTTAAATCCATGACTTCCTGCAATCCTGCTTCATCTATTTATTAAGATGAATAGAGTCCACACCATCTCTTTCACTATAAAGTACCGTATTTCGATATGCGTGATAAATATTTTTCGGCAAAAAATATTAAAATAGAGAATCGAAATGTGGAAGGCCAAGTGTTTGATTCAAAATCCTTTACCTGTGTTTGAGTTGGCGTTCAAACGTGAAAAATCACGTTTCATCATAAAGGAAAAAATTTCAACTTTTCCGTAAATGTATATATGGACGTGGAGAGAGAGTATAAATTTATGTTTATAAATTCAAACCAAACACACACTTATTCAATGCTCTTCATTTCTCACTGTACTATTGCGATATATAGAGTAAATTTGTATTATTGCTATATATAGAGTAAATTATATATATATATATATATATATATATATATATATATATATATGGTTCAAACGATAGTTACTAGTGTAATTTTTATTAAATGTTACACTATTCAATAATTTTATATTAATTGCGAATTTTGTAAATCTAACCGTTAGATTGAAAATTCATATTACTTTATATGTATATTAAATTTTGTTAAAATTGAACAACAATTTAAAGGTGATCAAAATGTTCATATTTTAATATATTTTAAAATGAATATATTACGTCAACTTTATTTTATAAGAAAGAGGTATCAAATTATCTTAGATTAATATAAAATTTTGTATATATGATTTAATTGATATGAACTTTCAATCTAACGGTTGGATTTACAAAACTCATAATTAATATAAAGTTCTTGAGCAGTGTAACACTTAATAAAAGTTACACCGGTGTCGTTTGAACCCTCCTCTATATATATATGTGTGTGTTTGCTATGAGTAATATTCATATAATTTATATTCATTTATTAGTATATCTCTCATAGTTTTTTTAAAATTTTTCAATACAGTTATGTAATTCTTTTATTTAAATTAAATTAAATTAATTTATAATTTTCAATTTAATTTATTATTTAATATACTATATGGTATTATAAAAAAAAGTTATTTATGACTAAGTCCTCATGCTTCTAAGCACCATATTTCTTCCCCATCCAGCCACTAGACTAATCTCAGTGTTTACATAAGAGTCATTAAATCACTTATCTTATATACACAATTTTTTTTATATCTTATTTAGTATATTTATATGAAAAATATTTTTGTGAAACCCCCGTCCTTATTTCCTTTTCCCCTACTCACTTCACTTTTCTTTCATCCCCTCAACTCTTACTCAAACACTCTCATTCACTCTCTTTTCTCAAATTCAAGGTGCTGGTCAAGAGTAGGTGTTGGGAATTCTAGCTGAGCCGTGCCAAGTTTCTTCTTCTCCTTTTCTCTCCGTTCGTCGTTCGTCTTCTTCTTCACGGAGCTCGGATTTTCGCACCGAGGTAAGGGAAGCTAGATTATCTTGTTGATTGTTTGAGAGTGAGCTTAAGACTCACTTGTTGATGGACTCTTTGCGGATTTGAAGGTTGTTTGTTAAAAATGGAGTTTTGGGGTTTTGGGTGAAATTTGAGTTTTTCTTTGATTATGGTTGCATGTTGAAAAAGCTGGCATTTTTGAACTCTTTGATGAAAATGAGAACTTTTGGATGGATTGCATGTGCTGGAAATGGGAATTTTTGCAGGATTTGGACAAGATTTTCGAACTTGGTGAGTTGCTGCTGAGCTTCGCGCTGGGCGCGAGACCACCTGGAGGCTCCTTTTAGGAAAGCCCGCCGGGCGCAAAGGTGTGTGCGCTGGGCGAGCTTGAGAAGGAGAGCCTCTAGATGGCCCACGTCGGGCGTGATGGGGACCGCGCCGGGCGCGATACCAGTTGTGGTATTTTTTTGGGTTTTCTAGTTCTGCGCTGGGCGCGATTTCGGTCTCGCTGGGCGCGGAGGCTCCTTGGGAGTCTCTGCCATGGGGGCGCCGGGCGCAATTCAATTTGTGCTGGGCGCGAGGCCTTGGGAGGTCTCTGCCTTCCCTGCGTTGGGCGCGAGTTGGGCCACGCCGAGCGCGTGAGACTCCTTAGAGTCTCTGCCTGGGCTTGCGCCGGGCGCGATGACCCCTGGTGCTCTCTGGTTGTGCCACGCTGGGCGCAACCATGAGTGCACCGGGCGCGTATGATGATGATGACTTATATGCTGATAACTGTTAAATTTTGCTGAAATTGTTGATAGATGTTGTTTGATGCTGAACTAAGTTGTAATTGATGAATATGTTGTGCTGACTAGGTGATAACGCTGAATAATGATGTTAAAGCTGTAATAGATGTAGGTTGCCTCGCTGAGATGGGTTGTTATTGATGATTATTAAATATTGAATTATAATATTGCGGTACTATAGACCATTGAGCCGAGATGTGAGTAGTTAGCTGTGCTGAATACTACTTAGCTGTGCTATAAGCTGATTTGTTGTGCTGTGTTATGTTGTAAGCTGTTTAAGCTGTGATGAATATTATTAGTTGTGATGTAAGCTGTTAATGCTGTATGTTGATATTGTTGTGTTGTGCTGTGTTGTATGCTGTTATAGTCGCTATGTCGGTGCTGTTATAGCCACTATTGTGGTGCTGTTATTGCCGCTACGCAGTGCTGTTATAGCCACTAGAGTGGTGCTGTTGTTGCTGCTATGCAGTGCTGATATTGCCACTTTGGGGTGCTGATATTGCCGAATGCTGTGGTGTAGTATAAGCTGGTTGATATGCTGATAGCTGTAGTTGTTTACATTCATGTTGTTATATATGTATGTTGATTTCTTTTCACTAGCTTACCCTTTGTTGTTTCCTTGGTGTTTGGACTGCGATGATCATACGTTGTATGGGAGCAGAGCAGGGATAGGTTGGTGGCTGGTGGTAAGTCTGCAGCTGGCAGACGGAACTAATCCTTTAGGATATTTTGTTGTTTTAGCTACTTGGTGTAGTAGCGTTTGATGTATTTTTGTACACTTTAACTCTATCCAGACTTGGACCTTGTATATGTATATATTCCATACCCTATATGTATACACTTGTTCCTTCTGTGTGGTATTTCGGTGTGCTGTGCTGTGTGTAGTGACCAGTCGGGTCGTTACAATTTTCATGTGAGAAAAAAGGGGTCATATATAGTTGTTGATATTAAATTAAAAATATAATATTATAAATAAAAATAAATAATAAATTATACTTTTTAATATTATATATCTTAATTATAATTTTATAACTAAATCACCTTGTTTTGAACCTAGTAAAATAATTATGTTATCAAATAAGTTTGTTTTGATTAATCTAAAATATAAATAACTAGCATTTTAACATCTACATTTCACAAGTTAAATTTTTATTAAATAATTAAATTTATAAATTATATATGCAAATAAACATTATATTTAAATATATAATTTATATTTAAATTTTATATAAATAAATATTTTTAAATGTATAAATTATTTTTTAATATAGAAGATAAATAATTTATATAACAATATAAGATTATTATTAATTATGGATAATTTATTTTGAAAATATTAAAAGTTAATTTGATAAATAAACATGATAAAAAATTGAATTAAATAAAAAAATAAAAATAATTTCTAAAGACATTTTCCTTGAATAATAATTTTTAAAAATATTTTACACAAGAAAATAATTTATGTTTAATATATAACTAAATTATATAATAAATTAAAAAAGTTACAAATACTTTCATGAAATAATTGTTCTTAAAATGTTATCGTGAAAGATTTATTTTTTGCATTTTATATATGTTCTTACCGGAAATCTGTTGTAGAGCTGATCCACCAGGTAAGATCGGTGAGCCTCCTTCACTGGTACGCTTGTGTTTCAAGATGGGGGTGGTACCTGCAAAAGAGACTCCGATGCTAAAGTTAGAGTTTGTATGAGTATGAATCTCGTATATATATATAATGCACGTACCTTGATGTGTATTAGGATTTTGTTGGGCCTTGGGCCTGAGATTAGTTGTGATTTGATTAGGTAGAGGATCTCGCCTAGACCGAGATTCCCCGAGATCGGTTACGATCTATTTAAGTGCCGAGCTGACGCCGCGTGGCGCGTGTCTGAGGTCAGCTCGTGCTGTGGTACTGAGCTCGGAGCTCGGCTTCGAAGTACGGATAGTACACTAGCCCCCCGAGCTCCGAAGACCGTAGGTCGAGGAGTTAAGACCGAGCTTGACAAGGGGTCGTGACTTTTCGCGTACGCCTATTTGTCATGACGCCATGTGTCATAACCGTCACCTCGTTCCCATAACGCGTGAGCAGCGCGGTGACAATATTGTATTTTTATTTGTTTGATGACGTGGCCTATTTGGGCCGATGTGGTGTTCCGATGTCCATGTTTCATGATCGGGCTGAGGAGCTCGGCAATAATGAGCTTACTGCTTGGTTAGGCTGGTAAACTTTTGACCAAGTCAGCAGATTGGTGAGGGACAAGTCGGTAACTCGGCTGGCCAGTACACCAGCCCCCAAGCACCGAGTGATGTAAGAGCAAAGGGGCTTTTGAGGAGTTCCCAAATTTTTTGTTTGAAGGTTCAAATTCGACCTTGTTAAGTATATGCGATCTCAAGGTTCGGACTCGACCTTGGCATATCAAGGTTCGAACTCGACCTTGGTTAAGAAAATGTGATCTCAAGGTTCGGACTCGACCTTGGCATATCAAGGTTCGAACTCGACCTTGGTTAAGAAAATGTGATCTCAAGGTTC